TTTTCTAGTGGGGCGCCTTTTGCATGTATGACATCAGCATACTCCTGTAACAACTGAGGGTTCAAAATATCGTCATTCCATTGAGATATTCTGTGGCTGTGATTGTTGAAAATGTTGTCCATGACTTCGTTCGTAATCATGCATAACTCTGGAACTGGTCTTCCAAACCGGCTGATCATATCTGAATAGCGGCAAGGGTAAGAAAACCTTCTCAGTAGCATGCATAAACCTTCAATTCTATCACAGATTGTTCTTTGTGGACAATGGATGTTCATTGGTAGTTGAAGAACGTTTGCCAGCAAAGGGATGTCTTGTTTTTGGACTCTGAACTCTGCCAAACACTCGCTTTCGTCAACGTTTTCAAGATCAAATCTTGCATACGAACTGTACGGAAAATCAGGGTTCTTGCAACGGTAGCTCTCCCACAAGACCAAGAATTCTTCATCAGAAATTATTTTACTATCATACGCTAGTAACAGCATCTCTCTTGTTTCACGAAAAGACATTTTCACAGGTTTTTTTCAAGCTTTCGAGACAGGTTTCGAATGGGTTGCCGTCGCAAAAATACTTCTTTGCTTAAGTTTGGATTTTGGCGGGAACGACGGCGCCCTCTTACCCAGGCTCGCTCGTTTGTAGACGTCGCCGTCGCCCGAAAAACGTCTGGTGCTTAAGTTCCCTAATGCCTGCTACGGAGGCTAATCACCACTGAATAAAACAGGGACTAGGCAAGAAACTGACAAAGTCATAACATCCACACAACAACACACACCAATCTTGGAAGTAGATTGCTAGTTTCAAAATGCACAGGGCTTAACTGTATAATCAAACTTATCTTTTAATTTAATACCTGTGATTCTAATCCTACTGATTTTATACCTGCATAAAGAGAGTCACATGTACGACTGCAATTTTATTATGCTTTTTTAGTCCTATTACAAAAACAGACATTCCTACATCAGAGTACTCATCAGCCTATTTATATACCAGTTTCGAACATTTTATGCTCACCTAATGCTATTGTTTGGAGGAACCAGTCGCCGCTGCCCCGCTATTTTGTGATCAGCTTGTGATTACAACAGTAACACTTCGTAACATGTCACATTGGTCTTCGCGAGGCTACATCTTCCCATGAAAACATGCCGGTTTCAATTCGGAAAAAGTATCACAAAACGTGGGGCGCGTTGGGGAGCGATAAAAAATTAGCGTAGAACAAGGTTTGCAGAAACACTTACAACTATCTTCTACTTTCGACGGGCAATACAATGGAAATTATAGCCTCTTAAAAACCGGGTTCAAATTTCATGCTCTTACAGGAGGAATCTTCGGGCTCCACGTTTTAGATTGAAATGAAGAATATTGATTCGTTTTTCTTCACAGAAAAAATGTAAACAAATATTAGCTTGTGAAATCGAGAAAAACTATCGAAGGAAAGAGCTGTATCTATTGAAAAATAAAGCATATAACCTGCGAAATTTCTCGACCTTCGCCGCCATCTTGAAAATTTTGAATCCACAATGCATCGCAGTCGTAGTGCGCACACCGCCTGGTACAGAATCGTAACTGTTTGGCTTGTGATAGATTGCCCAGCTGTAACGTACTTGTTATTAATTTTGGTTCTCAAAATCCACAAATAAACAACCTTTCTTCTGATTGTGTAAAGTATTTTTTCAAAGGTAGCATATTTTGATTAGAACTATGTGGCGTTTAATCGAGGGTGGTATTTAATCAAATGTGTCACAGTACATGTCATGGCATATATGTGTTAAAGGTCAAATTTGATTTCAGGTTAAATTTTTTCTTTACCTAGGTTGATTCTAAATTTCCTTTGTCTCCTAGCCCTAATTATCCATGAACTAGGGCTAGGAAACAAATGAAATTGAGAATGAACCTAGCTTAAATCAAAATTAACCTGAAATCAAATTTGACCTGTAACATATGCATACAACATATTACTGTAAGAAAGTTAGAAGAGTTGTTTACCATGTCTTCAGAGCTGTCTGGTTTTCTGATTGCAGCATATTGTCCTTCAGGTTGTCATGCTATTCTTCTTCTTCATCAAGATTCCCAAATATATGACAAAATGACCAGTCCTTCACTAAAAGAAAATATCATTGATAAAAATTGACTTAAACAGACCCAACTTTTTAAAGAATAGAACTTGCATAAAAAATAATTTAAAAACTGAAGTAAGTACAGTGTAAGTAAGTAAGTGAGTAAGTAAGTAAGTAATATGGTTTTATAACGGGGTTTCCACATTGTGGCTCTTCATCTGTTACTAACTAAAAAATAAAAATACGTACCAATTACTTACAATAAAAATATACTAAAAAAACAAATAGAATAAATAACGATTAAAAGAGAGAATATTTACAATTTAATCGCATGAATTAAACTTAAAATACAATAAAATTGAATAAAATATTCTCCCTTTTAACCGTTATTTATTCTATTTTTGTTAGTATATGTTTATTGTAAGTAATTGGTACACATTCAATTTATTCTCAAAAAGTTAGACGTTTTTAATCTATTTAGTTCGCGCATTTTTAAATTCATAAAGAACCAGGCACAGGCCGGCTTATCTTAATTATTAAGATAAGTTCTTTATGAATTTCAAAATGCGCGAACTAAATATATTAGAATCGTCTAACTTTTTAAGATTATCAGGAACATTGTTAAAAGGGCAGCGGCAATGTCCTGGAATGTCCCTTTTTCCAGGGGAACTTAATCTTATACATATGTAGAGTCTGAAGAGCACAAACTTCTACATATAGAAACCCTCTGTAAGTTTAATTATGAACACTGATGATGGCCATTGCTTAGCGTGAAGTGCTTTAAAAGTATACTTAAGCAAATTCAAATCCCTTCTCTCTTCAACTTGGAGTCAAGTCAGCTTTAAAATGTCTCCAACATCATTTATGTATAACTGCCATAAAACGTGTGGCAGCAAATTCAATTTTTTGAAGACATTTAAACAAGTATCCTGGCAAAGGTGAATAGACCAAGCCACAATAGTCGATCAATCAAGAACTTCATGCATTGAAAAGTTAAGAGCTTGAATTTTGGCTTAAGTTTAGAATTTTCAAAATACCTGATGGGATCCTTCTTGCTGTGCTCTTTTGTGTGTTTAGGTTTTCTGAAGCGTCTTTTATGCCTTGATGTCTTCATTCATAACATTGTTTAAAAACTTTGCCGCCATCTTGGCACTGAAACGTACAGAAGGTTGCCATAGCAACATTGTAATCTCACATTTCAAATTATAAATTAGGGCTGAGATTTTGTGCTAAAATTAATTAAGAAGTAGTTTGTCACCCATGATAATTATTATTACAGTTATTATTACAATGAATTAATAAAGCATGTAATTAAATGACTAATGGTTTGATTAATTAATAAATATTAATTAATTAATTATTAATCCCAGTTGTCAAAAATTTGGAGGGCTTGTTAAAATGACTCTAGGCTAGGCTAGTACATGCTA